AGGCAGGAGCTGGTGCAGAGGCCATGGAGGGATGTTGCTTACTGGCTTGCTTGTTCCTCATGGCTTGCTCAGCCTGTTTTCTTAGAGAACCCAGGACCACCAAGCCAGGAGTGGCCCTCCCACATCAACTGCTAATTAAGAATATGTCAGGACAACTAGGTTTTTAATTTTTCCAGAAAGATTGTTTAGTTCTGTAAAGGACTTTGGATATCTAGAAGACATAAATATGGAGAATCACTCCTGTACCCAAAGTCCACATTTATGAATAGTAATCTCATCTAAAAATATTTTCAAAGAAACATCCACAGTAACGTGTCTCTAAACACCCGTCTGCCAGGTAGATGATAGACAGACAGACAGACAGACAGACAGACAGACAGACATGAGCTTCAGAAGTATTAGGGGGAGTCTAGAAGTATATACTCCCACAGGGATAACTTTGGGAGAGAAATGGGGATTTGTCTCTTAGTTGTTCAACTGTTTAAAATGAAAATATGTTAACACATTGTTTCTGGGTGTGTTTCCTCTTTAAAAATAATAATGATTCAGACAAAAAAGGGAAAATTGTGTTTACGTCTTCAAATTGCTAGCAAAACCCTGGTCCTCTACAACTTACAGAAGAAGGTCATGTGTTTGTCACCAGATGCCTGGCACACCCTATGCTTCACAGGCACCCTAAATAGTAGATATTAAAGCTGTGCATAAGAGAGATCGTAGGCGTGGCCATGTTGAGAGTTCTCCCTAGGCCAGTAGGTCACGTGGGCGGTAGCTTTTGTCAGAGCTTGCATCTTGCACTCAGCAAAGGGCATCTGTGTCTTTAGAAATTAGCACAACAAGCATGGTGCAGCGTTTTCAAAGCGATGTCAGTCTGTCTCCAGCAGCCCAGATCAACTTTCCGCTGCCCGTGGACACTGGCCGCAGCTGGCAGCCGGCTCTGTGGCGGGCATGCCAAACACAAATAAGCTCGAAGGACGAGTGCAGCCAGGACGCCAGAGATTTCTATCCTTCTTCCAGACTTATTTCTTATTATTTCTCGAGAGCGTCCACTGTGCTCTTAAAAACAAGGGACCTATTTTGTAAGCTGCTCAATGGTCTATTTTAAACTCGGGGCTGTGTTTGTTTGTGTTCAATCCTAGGCCTCGCCCTTTGCAATAAAGGGCCGCTGGCACAACGCAGAGAACCTTACGCTGTTTACCACCCCTAACTTCAGGGAAGCAGTGGAAATCAGGGATTTACAATGGTCCAAATCTTGAGAAGACCCTAGAGAAAAAAGATAGTTCTGAGCAGAAAATCTGGAAATTTCTAAGACCAGAGTTAGTAGTATGTAGGCGCTGATGTGGAGCTCGGTCATACATAAAGGGAAACAATACACATACTAATTTATCCAGGAAATATTTATTGGACACAGACGATATCAACCACTTCTCTAGGCACCTAACTGTACCAAGGAGCAAACACAGTCTGTTCCTGGGGGACCAACACTCCAATGAAAGGAACGCAATAAACAAAAATTAGTAATATGGTATTTATATTATGCTTAATGATGTGCTAAATTATCTAGCAATAATTAGTGTATCAAAGAAACTTCAGGTTGTTTCGCTTAGACACTCAGGAGCCTAGGGCCTAGAACCCATGATGACAGCCAATCACTCACCAGTTGTGACATGTGAACTCTCAAAACTGCTGGTCTGATTCTAACAAACCTACCTTGATCCTCCTGAGCAACTTGCCCCCTTTTGTCTCTGCTCACCAAAGCAGACTCCCAACTGCCATGGAAGGTGACAAACTGCCTTCCCTGTCCTGGAGACAGAAGAGCCACAGTCTCCAAACTGACACCCAGAGACCTCACCCTTTCAATTCCCCACCCATCACTGAGAAACTAATTGCATACAAAGTGTCCTTACATCTGAATGGGCTGTGTTCTGCATCTGGCAAGTATTCGCTTTTTAAATAAGAACCCACCTCCCATCTCCACCCCACTCCCTCCTAGGGATGATGCTTAACCCAGAGCCTGCCCCAGGTGGGTCAACTTCAGACTATGAAATCTGAACGAACAGGATATTTTTAGACCAAGAAACCTTCTGAGCACATTCTTGAGCTGGGATGAGTCCCTGTCCCTAACGCCAAAGCCGACTTTCTCCTTTCCCATCCTTCACTTACTAAATTTCTAAAGCAGTTCATTGTTTCAAGGACCCTGACACTGCATAAAGTGTCGAAGAGGCAACATGGAGCAGACTTGACACCTGAAGTCCTAGACACTTGAACCTGACATTTGCTAAAGGCATCTTTGCTTGCCCTGGGGGAGAGAGATTCCTCTAGAGATCTGAGCCATGGTCCACACAAAGGGCCATACAGGACAAGGCTGGTTTTGACAAGACTTGCAATTGATTTGCTAGGTCATTGATGAATGGACTTGGAGCTGCACAACCCTTGACTCTAGAGAGAGCATGTGATTACAGGAGGATTCTATCATTAGAGATGCAAGGCGGGGCTCATCACACACACACCTTTAGTGCTGGGAAAATAGGCCCCTTGTTTTCTGAAACTATCTTCTTTTTCAGAAGCACCATTTGCAGGTGATGGGCCTTACCTTTTCCTCCACCCAGGGCATAGAGGCTTTCAAATCTTTGTAATTAAAACACAAATGAAGCCTGGCTTGTCCAATGGGGGGAAAATGAAGTCAGGATGGTCCCATAATTGGGGCCTCATCCCTGGGTTAGGACAGTACTACAGTTTGCATTTGTAACCAAGTCCCAGCTCTAGAAGGTGACATCTCAATTACGGGTTTGTCAGCTTTGTGAAGGCTCCCACAGTTTCTTCGGAGTCATTAAAAAGTAAAAAACTGTCATCATAATAAAAACTAAACACCATCTCTGTTTAGGGAGAGGAAATGGCCTTTATGCTGCAGATGTGTGCCAGGAAGAACAAATTCACAGGGCACAGAGAGGTTAGCAATGCCCAGGAAGAGGGGGCAGGTCTTTCAGTGACACCAGGGCAGCACATCCTTCCTGATCCCCTCAGAAATGTGAGGTGCAGCAGGCAATGACAGCAAGGTGCAGAATGCAACAACAGAAAGCTGGAGCAGGCAACGGTAGTGAGGGAATGGCTGTATTGAGACTGAAAAGACTGGATCCTAGTCAATAAAATAGTTTATAAACGACACTAACTCCCTCCTTGCCCTGGCACACATCAGGTGGACTCGAAGCCCAGGAGCACACCCCTTTAAACACTGACTTGTGGCAAGATCCTGAGATGCTGGTCCCCTTGCCCACTGCCTTCCAGTCTGTGATTCTCTGTGAACTTGAGGGGACTTCCTGTCTGCACAGCCTGAACTAGATGGAGGGAGTAGAGACAGGGAAGCAGAGTGCCCACTCGACCCTATGACATAAAAGATCAGTGGATGTGAGCTAGACAAACTCCTAAAAGTTCACAGTAGCCACATATGCAGACCCAGCCAGGCTGAGCAGCAACACCTCATTTGACACACCAGGCTCTCAATCCAACACCCCGCCAGCCTCTTGGCTTTGGACTACTATAAACCGCCTACATACAGGGCCATACAACTTTCACACCAGTATTTCCTGTGACTTCTTACAAAAACACTTTCCACTGATCAATGAGACATCATAAACACTATTGACCTAGGGAGGCACTCTCAGAAGGCCATGGGTCAACAACTCTGGCTTAATCCAGTTCCTGATCAGGTATATTTTAAGATTTCCAAAAGAGTGCTAAAACAGTAGTCAGTCACCCCTGGGCAAATTTAAAGACTGTCACTAGAAAGTTCTGCTTTAAGAACATACATCCTTTAAGCTCTGGCTTCAACCAGTTCCCTCTACCCTACATTGTCAATGCACATTTGCTCTTCTGGAAAGTCCAGCTCTTCTCTTCAGGACTAGAAGTAATCAGGGATTGCTTAATAAAAAGACAACATGCAGGTGATGTGTTACTAAAATCTAGATCTGTGTCTCCACCTGAAACGGATTAGAACAGCATAAATCTCCTGGGCTGTGCCGAATTCAAAAAAGTCTTCATTCCCTACCCGAGCAAGACCAGTTAACCAAACCAGAGAGTTTCCTAGTTGTCACAGGGTTTTGATTTTGACTGTTTAATGCCGGGCACACTCACATTTATGTTACACACCTAAGTAAAACAAAGATTCGGTTGCCGTTGTGCTGAATTTTCAGTGTCCCTCTCCTTCCCCCACTGGCCTTGGGGCAGTAAAGAGTTTATCTGCATTTTATGCATGTGTATTTATACACACCAGTTAAGATAAACTGCTATTCATACAGCGTGGTTCATGATCCACAGAGTTGAGATGAAATCTTCTAAAGCGAGTGGCACCTCTATTATATCCATTCCACAGAAAAGGCCACTTTTTGGAAGAGTCCGGATGATTTACACTTTCAGAGTCACATAGACGCCTAACAGTGGCACTGGCCTTTGGGTCAAGGTTAGTGTGATCCCAAGCTTGCTGGTCTTCCTACAGCAGATACATCGGCAGCCCGTTGGCCTTCAGACTCCTACTGAGACCGACCCTGGCCTGATCCTTCCCATTTTCAGGAGCCACTGGTAAACATTTTGACAACTTCTAAATTTGTGAATGTTTTTTAATGGCTCACACTTTTAGGACTCACATAAATTTGTCAGCCTGTCTGTGAATAGATCGATGTACATCCAATTCCTCACAGTGATGCCCTAATGCCAGTAAAGGAAAACCCAGAGAGAGAGAGGTGAGTGGATGCCAGACCAAGATGGCAGAGGGGAATAGAACATTTATAAATCATGAGCGTGAGAGTCAGGGAAAAGCAGGCTCTGTTCGGATAAACCAGCTGAGGTGAAGCTGAAGAACTTAACTTTAACAAGACCTTCCCTTCTCACCTATTCTCACCGATTCTTAAGTGCATTGACAGACAAGGCTATAGGAAAATATGGTAACTACGAGTCTCAAACATCAACTTTAAATATCCCTGGGCTCTTTGCCCCTGAGAGCATCATACCTGTACACTCTTCAGCATGACTTGATTCTCGAGAGGACATTGGACAACCTGGAAGCATTTTTGGTCTAATTCTTAGGCAGACAAGCAGGGAACCCTGACCAGACAATGTTCAGGGTCTGTTTCTCCGGAGTTGCAGGTGACTTCAGCTTTCCTTGGTGTGAGCCAGCAGCAGTGTACAGCCAGTTCGGCTCCAACCTCTGACAAAGAGCCCATTTGCTACCATTGCCAAGGAGTTCTGGTAGAGTGTGCAAGTGCTTGGTCTATGGCCTCCCAAAGGGATAGTGATGTTCAGTATGTGGTTGAGGCAGAACTCTGGCCTTTTTGTCATCAGAGGAAGTCCCTGTGTCCAGGTAGTGAGACCAAATACCTGCAGGATCAGACGAGAGTCACATAAGCAGGAACATGAAGGTCTCTCTCTCACCCTCTGGGCTGTGTTCTAGTCCCATGTAGCCTAATCAGGATAAGCTCCAGTGGAAACATTTTTCTCCCTTCAATGGCTGCTGAAGAGCCCCTTCCTAGAAGGTTAGCAAGATTGTAACCAGCACCCTCAGCCTGAGTAGTTCCACCCACACCCCTCTAAACAGGTACCCACTGGTTCACCCTGACTCACAGCCCGTCCCTCTGACAGTTTGCTCCTGAGGCAGAAGCTTTCATGTTGAGTATTTCCAGCTCAAATATTCCATCAGAATGGTGTGGGCCCCATGTGGGCTCGCATGTCCTGACATGGCCTCATCCACCAGCCTTCTGCTCACCCCAAGAACTAACAGTCTGATGTGTTTATTCCTCGGCAGTCCTGTCTCCCCAGGAGGTGAAGACTTTCTTTAATACTCTAACGAGCGAATTTAAAAATTGCAGCTGACTGCCATGGTAAATCCATGCCATATTTTCAGGATAGGTATTATTTCAGAGATACACTCCTGAATCAAACAACAAAATATCTTTTTAGAAAAAAGAAAGAATTTCAATTCAAAAACTCAGTTGCCCAGCTCTCAGCTGTTACTTCTGCAGAAAACACACACACACACACACACACACACACACACACACACACACACACACTCAGGATTCCTTCATGGACAACAGAGCCAGCCAAGAAGGGTGCTAGGCTGAGCAGAGCACAGGAGGACTTTGTGAAACTTACACCTACAGTGGGGAACTCCAGTCACGGTGCTGAACCTTAAATCTCATTAAGCCCCTTCTAAGTATCAAAGGTGGCCCGTCCCGCTGCTTCCTGAGTCCTGTCAAGTGCGGGTTACAGGAAATTGACAAAAGAGCTTCCATTAGCCCAGCCAAAATTCACATGGCTCTATTATTAAGATGCTGCCTAGTTTGATCACCCTCTTAATCTATCAAAACTCCAAAAGGATAATCTTTTAAAAGCCTCCCCCGCCTTTCCTACCCTCCCAACCCCCAAGTCCTTTCCTTTGTTGCTTAAATCAAGGTAAGTTGATTTTACAAAATTTGGAGAAGAGGCATGTTGGTAGCTGGGAGCTAACAAAAAACAAACACAGACTTTCTACCTGGAAACTGTTCTCTTTGATTCAAGACTGAATGTCACCACTTTGTAAACAAAGAAGATGATTAAAAAATAAAAATGCTGCCTGTCCTTTTTTTTTCTTTAACTCAGAGTCAGCTCACAGTACCTGGCACTGGAGAAAGAAAGAAAGAAAAAAAAACACCATTAGGCACGCCAGAAGAGCTCAGAGGGATCACGTGCTCTTTGCTGGTTTTGTTTTATAAGCCAGGGGCCATGGAAAGAAAAATAGAGCCTCCTGTCCAGGTGTCCCTGCTTGGCAAAATAATGGGCACAGACCGATGTGACATGGAGGCAAAGGATGTTAATGTACTCTGACTCCTGGCAGACATGCTACCAGGATCCAGAGAGGCCTTAAACAGCAGAGCCAGCCTCATGTGCACCCCAGACAATTCCAGTTACAAGCTGGTATCCAGGTACCCCCCCATCATAGCAGAACAACTACCCAAGATGAGCTGTCTGCATTGTTAATTTGAGACAGTCAGCTGACAATGCACTGTATTTCCTTTATTTATTTTCATAAAAGGTACATCTATCTCTAAACTGAGTTGCCTGGTTTAAAAACTGGGGTGTCTTCCCTTACTTCCATCTTGCCCACCTCCCCCAAAGAAACTGATTCCCGTCTTAACACAGCCATTTGAAGGCAGCCTGCTGGCTGTTACCTACTGAGGTGAGTTTTTGTACCTCCCAAAGAATACCCAGACCATGCTGTGGAGGCTTGTCTTGATCCTCTTTGTTTAAACACACTGGATGTCTGTCAGAGAAATTTAAAAATATATTTCTCCTTTCTAAACAGGATGTCTGTTACGGTGGATACACTGATAATGATTTCACTATGTAACCCATATAGCCATCAAGTTTGATTTCTGGGTCACCTTCTCTGAGGCAGCAATAGTAACAACCAAATGTGAACGGCCAGTTGTTTGTCCATTCCCACCCTTCAGGAGACATTAGCAACCAAAACTTCCTGGTCTGGAACACTGGGTTGGGACACACTAGAGTCACTAAGTGATTGATCATTACTTCAATTTTACTTTCACTTGGGGTCGAATTTGCAGAACACACTCTAAGCCAGACAAGCTTCCAGAGTCATCTCCAAGATCATTGCATCTTTATGCATGTATACTCACCCAGGGGTGTGTGTGTATGTGTATGTGCGTGCACGAGTGCATGTGTATGTGTGTGTATGTGTCATCTGTATGTGGTATGTGTGTGCGCATGTCTGTGTATTCACATGTCTGAATAGGTGTGCACATTGTGTGTATGTGTATGTATGGTATGGTGTGGGTGTGGTGTGTTTGTGGTGTGCATGGTATATGGTTCGTGTGGTAAGTGGTGTGTGTGGTATGATGTGTGAGTGTGTGTGTGTGTGTGTGTGTGTGTGTGTGTGTAGTGTGGTGTGGTATATTTGTGGTGTGTATGTGGTATGTATAGTGTGATGTGTATGTGTGTGTATCTGTGTGTGTCTGTGTATGTCTGTGTATGTGTGTCTGTGTGTATGTGTGTCTGTTCTTAGAAGCATAGGGAAGGAAAGGATGGGGAAAGCCCAGTAATGGCTTTAGTCTGAAATGTCTCCCGCAGGCTCCTGTTTTTAACACTGGGTCCTTCATTTATGGCACTACTTTGGAAACTGTGGGAAATGTATGGGGTAGGGTCTGGCTGATGGATGATCATTAGGGTAGTCCTTCAACCAAACCTATTGTAGTCTAGCTTCCTAGTCTGCTGTGGTGTGAGCTCAGCCCACACACTCAGGGAGAATCAGAATCAGGGAGAGCCACCCACAGAATCAGGGAGAGCCACACAGGCCATCCAACACAGTTCTTACTGCTGTGCCTTTTTCACTGGAACAGGCTGAAATCCCTCTAAAATAGTGAATAAAAAACATACCTTTTATCCTTTAAATCGTTTGTCAGGTATTTGATTCTGTGGGACCTAAGGAAGCTAACATATCCACCCACACACCAGGATGGCCTCCCAGAAGCAACCTGGATATGAATTTTTAAAAGGCCCCTGACACACCTAGTAGCTTTTCTTTACTCTGGAAATGACTAATTAGCAAATCTTCCCACCCCTGTGTCAGCTTCTTACAAATCTGCTTCCCATAGGATCCCAGATGTGACAACAGGATCATTGGCCAGCATTCTTCTGCCAAGGCAGAGGTGATTGCCTTCTGGGGGATCCCTGAGTCATCCCAAGGAATCGAGTTTCAAGTGTGAGACAATTTTCCTTCCACCTCCAGGACGAACTCCACCGTCTTCCAAACACCAATCCATGCTCTCTGCTCTCTGACTGCAGGCCTGGCAATTGAGAACCACCACCATGTCCTTTGCCTGTGCCTTTTCTCCTGTCTGAGAACAGCTCCCAGGGTCTCTACTCTGCATCTAGATCACGTTGAGGTCAGAAATCCACTGCAGGACACCAGGTTCCCTCTTGTCTGATATAAGGTACTAACTCATCTGTGGAGTTTCAGAATTACCCAATGGGAGAAGTCTTACATGCTATCCAACACAGTACCCTTACCACACACACACACACACACACACACACACACACACACACACACACATGCTCCAACACACACACACCTCGCAGGCCAGTGGTCGTCTTCTAGGCTATAGTGTTATGAAGGCACGTTTGCACATGACACTCTCCTTGGTATCCTTCCTGCAAGGGAACCTGAGGTTACTGACAGAAAGAACTCCTGATGTCGTCCTGACAGAAGATGGCTGCTGTCTTTGGCTTTTAGATCTGGTTTCACAACACACAGATGTACATAGCTTGCTTCCAAGAAAGCCACCTAGAAATGACAGCTAGGCAGTTCTTTTCCTGATCTTCAGTTTCCGGCCCTTCCCCACAGACCCTGTCAAGATAGTAGATCTCTTTCTTTATCTTCAGGGATTTTGTTTCGGTATTTTTTGATGGGGTCATTCTTCCTCAATTGCAGATTTCAGTTCAAGACCCAGAGTTCTGGATCCCCCCTGGAGGAAATGAAGGGAGGCTAGAAGGATGTACTCCTGTGCTCACCTGAGTGTTGACACGCATTTACACCTCCATGTGCACACTTGGCTTCCTTCCTGTTCTTCATGCCATCATTAACATCATTTCACTAAGCCTTGTCTGCTTCATCCTCATAGTTTGGAGTCCATTTCTCTTTTAAACAAGGTCCCTGAACTTGTTGGAGGTATTCATATGAGAACTCCCAGTAGATATGCACCGAGTGTCATATTTGGGGTAATACCACCTTGGAGTACACAGAGAAGACTTCATAGAGTTCAAAAGTATTCCAAATGGTCCTAAAGAAACAAATTGATTTGTACACGGTGTTTCCACCAGAAGACTGATGGGACAGGCCGTGGGTGGGAGATTCAGAATGGAAGGAGACAGAAGTTCCCTCAACACCACAGCACACCACCCTCCCCAGAGGTGGACCAAAGGTTTCCCACCATGACCTAGGAGACTGAAAAGAAGGACAAAGGGCAAGAAAAGAACAATGGTGACAGACCTCTGGGAAAACAAAGCAGCCAAATGTTACTCATAGGCACCCAGCCAAAGTAAGGCCTCTTGGAGAGCTCGCTAGGAATGTCGGGAAGGGCCCTAGGGACATTTTCCCTGTCTGTGTCCCTCTCTTTGCCAGCACCCACCACAGACTAGATAATGAAATATTAATTCTATCTGATCTGCAGCCACACGGGCAGGATTGTGTCACATGATCCTTTAATGACCACAATTCAGGTACATGGGCTGGCTGTGAAGAGCAGGCTCCTCTCCCAGCTTGAGTCCAAGTGCCATTCACGCTACAAGAAGGTATAAAGTGCAAGGCTCAGAGGCTGTTCAGGGGACCCCATGGATTTCCCAGGTCCCCTGGGAGCTGGCTGTGTCCATGTAACATCGAGCAGTAACCACCACGCTCTACCCTGCCCCTCCCCACTACTAAAGTGAGCTGTTCTTGGGTGGATGGTGTCATTCCAGAACTAATAAAATGTGAAAGTCTAATTGTGTTAGCAACTTCCCATCATGGTCTATTAATATGCATCATATTGGTATCCATTTTCCCTAATGTGACATGAAAGGCGGTAATGTGATTACTTTTTTTAGTGAAAACAAATGCTAATGTAATTAAATGTTGACCACAGAAGCTGAAAGATATGGCAACCAGCAGGTATTGAGACTTTCTTCCCCTTAAAGAAAGAATGAAAATGGAGGAAGGAAACAAGTGTCAACCCAAACTAGTTAGAAATGGCTTAGCCATGGCTCAGAAATTCATGGCACCACCTCCCAGCCAAAATCTCTTCTGTCCGACAGTAGGCCTGGAGCACAGTAGGTTACTGGGGCACAGAGCACAAGAGACTGGCAGCCATTATAGAGAGGTCTGTCTTCACAACCTGGAGAACTTGGGGTTAGGTGTAAGCTTTAGTTTCCGCACTTGACTGGTTGAGACAGTTAGAACATGAAGCTCAGAGGGCCCTGAGAGTTAAACCAGTCCATTCTCCAGAGCACGGGACAATGCCTGTCATATAATAAATGCTCACTTAAGTGTTTGAAAGAACTGCTGTGTGTGTGGTAAACATAGGAGCAGATTCCTGGAGCCTTTAATTCAACAGTGTCTGATCATATTCAGCATACAGCCCTTTCAAAGGGTCCTCTGCTGTCCTGGAATAATGCGCTTCCTCAGAGGACTTCAAAATGCTGTTCTAAAATCTGTAAGGGAAGGAACAGGAGATGCGACCCCATCCACTTACCCTCCTGAATTCTGCCAACCACTGAGCTATGAGGAAGTATCCTACTGCTTTGGAGTAGAAGAAGGCTGTCCCTGTTATGTTACCATGTTCTCAACCCTCCTTCCTGACAGGCTTAGGAGTGAACATCCAAAAGTCGTTTGCTCAGGCCAGATCTCCAGGGAACAAAGGAGGATTAAGCAGGTGCCTCAACCTTGTCAGACTCACAGAGTGTCTACAGTGATCTCCCAGTGCCTCTGACTTAGGCTCCTAACCAGCTGGAGAACACTCTGAGTGACTCTGAAGACTAGTCTTAGGCCAGAGCTCATGCAGGAGAAAGCCAAGGCCTAGGGGAGGACTATGGTGCATGTTGTGAGCTAATGGGATGAACCACAGTGAGGAGAAGATCTATGCCCCTGACAACTCACAACAGGAGAAAGCCAGATTAGCATGCGGGAAACATACCCCAGTGAACACTTGAGAGAAAGCTCAGCTCTCAGCTCACTAGCTACATCCTCCTTCAGATTCCTGCTCTTTCTGCCCTTGCCTCCTGGGTATTGGGATTAAGACATATACCGCCACACCCAGTTTATGGAGTACCGAGCATTGAACTCAGAACCTTGTGCATTCTACTCAAGCTTCTCCAACTGTACTGCATCCCCCAGCCACCTGCAGCCTTCTTTGATGCTAAATGTGTTTCCTAGCCTCGTTTTTACCTGTGTTTTGACAATATTACACTGTTAGTCATTGTTTACTTTTATCAGGGAAGAGTGTAAACTCAGTGCCCACACCACAAATTATGCAGCCATGTTTCCTATATCTGGGGACATCATAGGTGTCAGTGCATCCTTTGTGATCATGGCATCTCCTCTGCTGAGTAAGTATTAACCCTAATTTTTAAAATGGGCATTTCTGTTCTGCCTGCCAGCCTGCACAGTGTTTTTTCCTATGGTGATAGATGATAGATAGATAGATAGATAGATAGATAGATAGATAGATAGATCAATAGAGATTGATATATACTGATATGTATGGATATATATGTGTGTGTGTGTGTGTGTGTGTGTGTGTGTGTGTGTGTGTGTGTATGATGTATATGTAGGTGATGGTGGCTATATACTATCCCCTTGCGTGAGGGAAATAAGACATCTTACCATGTTTCTGGTCATTAGACATTTAGGCTGAAGCCAGCTCTTTGACAAAAGAATAACATAGAATATCATTCTTCATATCCTACCCAGACATGATATTCTTGCCATTGCTGTAAAGGACATTATAAAATGTAACCGATCTATACCAATTTCCACTCCCATCCATGACACTATTAACCCACTCTTCCAAGTTGTTTCATTTTGGTCAATATGAGGTAAAAAGTAAATGCTTTTGTTAAATCTACATTTCTTTAATAGGTCTCTCTCTCTCTCTCTCTCTCTCTCTCTCTCTCTCTCTCTCTCTCGTGTGTTTGTGTGTGTGTCGGTGTCTGTGTGTCTATGTGCAGATGTACAGGCCCATGCCTGCATATGTAGAAGCAGAGGTTGATGTCAGGGGTCATTTCTCACTCTCCATCTTACTTTTTAAAAATACTTATCAATTTTATGTATATACATAAACTGTAGCTGTCTTCAGACACACCAGGAGAAAGCATCAGATCCCATTACAGATGTGGTTGCTGGGAATTGAACTCAGGTTGCTGGGAGAGCAATCAGTGCTCTTAACTTACTTTTTCAGACAAGACTTTTTCAGTCTATTTCTAATAGACTGGTTGGGCAGTGTCTTAGTTAGGGTTTCATTGCTGTGAAGAGACACCATGATCAAGGTAACTCTTATAAAAGAAAACATTTAACTGGGGCTGGCTTACAGTTTCAGAGGTTCAGTCCATTATCATCATGGCAGGAAGCATGGTGGCCCACAGGCAGACTTGGCGCAGGAGGAGTGGAGAGGAGAGTTCTACATCTTGATCCAAAGACAGCAAAGAATAAACTTTCTTCTGCCCTGGGTGGAGCTCAAGCATAGGACATCAAAGCCCATCCCCACAGTGACACACTTCCTCCAACAAGGCCACACCTCCTAATCGTAGCACTTCCCATGGGCCAAGATTAT